ACGACGACGACGACGAAGACCACGACGACTGCTGTTGCTGCTCTTATTACTTGTAATCGTAGTACTACTACTAGTAATATCAATACCGCGGCTACTATTACTGCTACCACCACCGCCGCCTTCACGACGACGACGACATCGACGACGACTACTGCTGCCACTGCTACTCCTAGTACTAGTGGGAGCGCTACTGCTACTGCTACTGCTACTGCCACGACGACGACCCACCACCACCACTACCAGCACCATCGGCACCACCACCACCACCACCACAGCGACTCGTGCCACCACCTGCACTGTAACTGCCCCACAATGGTACTCATAAGAATCATTGGCTATCGGTATCATGTTTATTGTCATATGTAAAAACTAGGCGCTGCCGATGGAAAGAGCCTTCACCAGTCTGCCAGTACGATGCATTCTTGTTCAGTTGAACCCAGAGAACCCAATACCCCTTAATTGAGGAATATACCTAAAAATACAGGGGCATGAATATTATGATTTAAGGTATATTCCTTAATTGAGGGGTATTGGGTTCTCTGGGAAGCTGTGACGGTATATTTCTGATTCTTCCTACTCGAATGTCTGCTGCTGATCCGACTCCAGCCCTGCAGAAACTGAAAGATACAGTAACTCTTACTTAAAGTTCACAAGTAGGATTAGTCATATAGTCTTAGCTTCCGAAATGCACGGCCATTCATCATCATCAACTCCATCAGTACCATTGTTTTTTCTATAATCGTCCCTTCGCAGTCTTATCTAGCTCTCGATATCTTCAACGCACTCCTCGCCCTACGCCTGCCTTTAGCACGACATCTGATTGTGCAGCAAGGAACATGTCACGCCATATGCCGCCATTTCGTTCGCCAGAGCTCGTCCATACGGCTGGAACCATTGGCCACCAGAGTAGAAGCCTGAAACATTGGTCCCGTACATGCATCCAGCTGAACTGATCCTTTCCAGGTAACTATCTCGTCTTTCGTGTCTTGGATCTGCTAAGTAGCTCTCTGGATGCTGGTCACACGAGAATGCTGAAGCAGCTAAGGTCCGAGACCAACACCCGTCCTATCTCCCCATCAACGACCTTGCATCAGCAAAGCAGTATCTCCAACCTGCGGTCAGACTGTCGCCGTAGCAAAGCACACGATGTGTCACGTGGCCACTTCCGGCAGTGAAGACCAGCGGCGCCCTCAGCAACACTTAAAGTCTGCACTGGTGTGGGCCTGTCTGACTGTAGGCTTTCGGATCCGGGTCGCGCGGAGGATGCCATCTGTCGGCTGGAGTCGGTAGGACCGAAAGGAGAGATGGAAACAATCGGAGTTGAGCAGAGCTTTGTCACGAATCGCAAGAGTCTTTTCCGGGCCGTGTGTTGAAGAGTGCCAATCTGGAGCTCCGACTCTGACCCGGCGTGAAACACGTGTCGAGATGCGAAGCTCTGTTCAACTCCGAGCCTACCTTCTGACCAGCAACGACTTGAAGACAGCAAAGCATTCAGATGAATCACTTGGCTGCCCAATTCAAGCTTCGTCACGCAGACATCAAGCACACAGCAAAAGGTGCATGTTTGAATTCGTGTCGGCCTCTGTGCTCTGCAATCCTGGATTTTCAGCTTCACGAGTTTCCCCGGCTGTCTCAGCTTCAACCATCTTCAACCTGATGACCATGGCATCGCCATGCACTGCCCTTACCTCCGAGGTCATCACCACATCACCACCGCAATTTCTGAGGTGACATGCGGCATGAGAGTCTGCTGAACGAGTTCTAGACTAAGTGGAAGGAAGGGCAGGCCACCAAGAGTCCTTCCTAGCACACGAAACCGATTTCCGATTTACTTCCTCTCTTCATGGAGGCGCTGTACGGGTGACACTGTCCAAGAGATCAGTACCTGGCACTCAGCAGAGGCCTCGCCGCGGTACTTCAAGCCTGGCTGCAGCCACGCACAAGCCTCTTCCCGGCCTGCCTATGCGGAAGCGCACGCTGCAGCACTAGGGAAAGCTGGTTCAAGAGTTGGCTAGACGGAAGAACCACATGAGACAATTCAGAACGACCACCACATGACCTCTCATAGGCTGCTTAGCCTTGCCTGTCACACATACTCTCAGTCCCTTTTTCGTGCACTCTCGAGGCATCTCCAGGCCCAAGGTTTCATATCTGCCAAGTCGGAATCTGCCGGGTGCTCGCGTAGTTGGCAAGCCCCGAAAGGGATGAAAGCCTTGAAATGCTTTACTTCAGCCGAACTTCCTTGCGAAACTGGCCATGCTTCCAACAAGTCACGTTTACCATAAGTTGCCCTAAACCCGAAACCTCGCGAAGCTCGACCCTGCATCTGCGACAAAACGCACTCGAATTGCCTGCAGCACAAGATATCTCGGCTTCAAGCTGTGTGCTCTGTCCACTTCCACCGAGAGGCCAATCTCGTGCCACAAGCGTTGTGAAAATCGATACCGCTGTCCACGCCCAAACACTGCCCTAGTCAGCTCTCTTTGTACCTCCGTGCTACAGTTTTCCTACGAGAGCCAATTGGGCAAGGCCAGCAGTTGAGTCTCTGCCACAGGACGGCACGCCAAGTTGCCGACCCAGGATTACAACCCGCATAGAAAATTAAAAGCTAGCGTAGTCTAGGTACGACGGAGTCAAGCACAGCTTCCTGTACCAGCAGCAGCGTTCTTAAGCAAGTAGACCCTAGACCCTACTCAAAACACCTCGTAAGCCCCCTGCAGGCTCGTGCTTCATGGCTGCTTTCGGCTTTCAGGATGCCCGATGACCCTTAGATCAGCATAGCTGATGACACCCAGCCCGGCAGCCTCAGCTCGGCAGAGGAGCAGATAATCGAGACAACGATAGTAAGAAGAGGACTGGTAGTAGTAATCTAAGTAGTACTACGATTATTGGCTTCTGTGCCAGTTTACCAGCTCAGTAAACCTCGATAGTGGAAGCACGCAACTTGCCGGTGGGCCACAGCGACACACAACACGAGCTCCATGCGTGGGACACGTGGGAAAGGCTTGCTGTCAAGGTGCCCATCTGGGGAAAGTTGATGGCTCAGACGGTGGACCGCAGCCCCCACAGAACCCCCTGGCATGCTCAAGCAAGCTCTGCCAACAGCATCACTCACTCACACACGACATGTCGTGTCGGGAGATTCATGGCGCCTGTATATACATGGTACGAACCAAAACAAGCGTCAAGATACTGTTGCATCATTAGCATGTTGAAGCTTCGCGCCCGCGATGTCTCCAATTGCGGGCCATCCCATTCACAAATAAACCTTCTTGAGGACCTTTGGAGCGACAAAGCCGATGATGAAACTAACAAGCTGCATGTGATCCGAAGCCAATCGCCACCATGCACATGCACGCGCCCTGACTGGCCTCCCGGTACCGCCAGCGCTGCTCCAAAGCCAGGACCCCGAGGCAGGCCCGGAATTTGCGATGTATGGGATGGGAAGCTGCTGAGTTCTTGCGTGTTGCAACTTATTCTGCATCACTTCTTTTCGTAATTACCGAGAATTGCCGACGTATGGGGTTGAAATCTACAGGGATTAATGATATGGCCTGCCCCTGTCCTGGCGACAATAAGAGCTCAACCCTCTCATATGCCCAGCGCAAAGCACGAGTGCTTCCACCAAGGCCTCAGAGCGAGAGAAGTTCAGCTTTGAAGACCAAAAATAATTAGAATAGGGTTTTGGGGGTTCCTTATTATAGTTATAGTATAAGATACCCCCAAACCCTATTCTAATTATTAAATGGCTTCGCACAGGCACTTCGCAGCACGGGGCAAGATGCAGCTGGGGCGACAGCTGAAAGGAATCCGGAGCAATAGTCATCCGTCAGAGCCTTGACAGGTAGGAGACTCCCACCTACTCTCATGTGTCGGGCGAACTGCTGGTAGATGCATTGGAGCGGGCAGTGCCCGCAGAAGAGCTTAGACCAGCGTCTCAAGCACAGTCAACCCGACTTCGCTCTTGGTATGTGTACATAAATATCTATATATATATATATACACATCTATCTCTCTTCTTCTCACACAAGTAACACATCTAGAGAGAGAGAGAGAGAGAGAGAGAGAGAGAGAGAGATCACCCAAGGTCCGAGGCCTGGGCTGTTATTCGCCATATGCATTTGCTTGAATACGTAAACCTGTGCCTCGGTGCAGGGTCGGAGCTGCCTTTTGCCATGGGGCTGCTTGCCACGGTAGTTACATGTGCTACTGGCAGCAGTTGCAGTTACAGCAGGTTGAAGCAGTGGTAGCCGTCGTCGTCGTCGTCCTCGTCCTCGTCGTCGTCGCCGCCGTAGGAGGAGGAGGAGGAGGAGGAGTGGCAGATGCGGTAGTAGTCGTCGCAGGCACCAGGAGTCGTCGTATCGTCGTTGTCGGTGATTGCTATCGCTGAACATGACAAGACATCCTAGTGACCTAGTGCTTGCACAGTGACGGAAGCAGCATGAGACGAAATGTGGGAAGGATGTCAGCAAAGCAAATTCTTCCCTGCTGCTGCTGCGTCATCAACGAAGAAATTCCTGGCTCCGTCACCCGCGAAAGAGCTTCCATGACTCCGAAGCCCGCCGTCGCTAACCCTAAACTTGAACTCCAAAGTCTAAGACCTAAACCCCCAAGCTTACAAACCGCCCCAAAGAAAGCCCACAATCCCTCTAGACCCTACACCCTAAACCCTAAACCCTAAACCTCAATCCTAAACCGAAAACCCTGCATCCCTCCGTCGCTTGAAGGCCGAGTGGCTCATATCAGAGCCTTCCAGTGACGAGGTCCTGGGTCCAGTGAGGGCTCAGAGGTTTTCTTACGGTCTAGGGTTTAGGGTTTGGGG